GATCAGGAATTTGAGAATAGACTTGTTGAATGCATCGCTGAAGTGACGGTTGTGGGAGGGAGGGATTTAGATTCTTGAGGCATTGGCACTGATTCCAAGGAAGATGGGATCTCTGCAAGCTGAATGCATGCACCCTAGGAGGACCAAAATCAATATCTTTGCAGGAATGTTCACTGGTACTGTAGGGGATAGTTTAAACCAGAATGGCATGGAGTTTCTTTTGGGGTGGGGGGTGCGGGCTGGAATCTGAACAGGGGAGACAAAAGTCAGGGAAACAAAGATGGAAGTCAAAGATAGAAAAGTTGAAAGCAAAATTGGAAGGCAGAGAAAATGATGGTTAGCAGCAAATATGATCGTTGTACAAAGAAAAGTATATAAAAATGTCAAAAAGACAAGTATTATACATGGATACACAGCATTCAACAATAAGGTTAAAAAATTTAACAGCATAAACACTAATTATTGGGTACGATATGATTGTGATTATAAAGGAATGACTGCAAGGTGACCAAGCCTGGGAACTGAATATCCAATCTTCAGGAAGGACTGGAACAAGAAAAGAGAAGGTAGCATGACATTGCAAGAGAAAGATGACATCAATGCAATAGTGAGAAAGGATACTGGCAACTGAAATCTAGACACCGAATCAGTCTGGGTGAAACAACAAAGGACTGAAAACATTAGGGGGATTTGTCTATGAGCCTCTAAACAGTAGTGGTAAAATAGGGACTGACAGTAAATGAGAGATACAACATTGGTGCTACAATAATCATGTACAACTTTAATCTGTATATAGGCTGAGCAAACCATAATAACAATAATACTGCAGCGGACAAATTTCTGGAAAGTGTACAAGATCTTTTTTAGGCATGTACCCCCTTGCTGAATCAAACAGGGAACAGGCTATTTAGATTTGTTTTATGCAATGAGACAGGGCTAATTACTAATACTATTGTGAAAGGCCCTTTTGGGAAAAAATGGTCATAGCCTTATGAATTCTTCACTGGAAGAGAAATAGAAGTAATCCAACCCAAAACTATGATCCTAAACCTAAGTAGAGGAAAATACCAAGATATGAGGCTTGAGTCTCATTAGGTTGGGTAACTTCATTAACAGACATAACAGTGGAAAGGTAATGGTCAATATTAAAAGGAACAAATGCATGCATGCTGACAGTCAGGCTCCAACCATATCTGATTTAGATGAGGGAGTCAAATGTACTAATTTGCTGCCAACACAGACTAGGTGGGATTGTGAGTTGAGAGGAAGCTGTAAAGAGCTTTTAAGACAATTTGGACAAGTTGAGCTTTGGGTAAATGCATATCAGATATCAGTACAATGCAGCTAAGCAGGAGAATGTCCACTTTGGTCGGAAAAGGATTGTAGATTATTATGTAAACTGTGATCGATAGGAAATGTTAATGTATAAAGCAACCTGGGTGTCCTCATACACTGATTAGTGAAAGCAAGCAAGCAGTTGCACAAGCAGTTAAGAGGGCAGGTTGGTCTTCACTGCAAGAGGGTTTGCGTACTGGGGCAAGGAAGTCTTACTCCAGCTGCACAGGGCCTTGGACAGACTACACCTAGTATTCTGTGTTTTTTTGGTCCCCTTGCATAAGAAAAAAAAACAAACGTTCTTACCAAAGAGGGGGTGCTGCAAAGAATAACTAGATTGGTTCCTGTATTGGCAGGTTTTTCATACGAGGAGAGATTGGGTGGGCTGGGCCTTTTTTCTTTGAATTAGATGAAAGGGGGTGTTGGGGGGGTGGGTGGAGATCTCATTGAAGCATATAAAATTCTGACAGTGATGCAGGAACGATATCTTCCCTGGCCAAAGGGTTATGGTCTCAGGATATGCAGTAAGCCATTGCAAACTGAGACAAAGATAAATTTCTTCATCCAGAGGGCAGTGAACCTGTGGAATTCTCTACACAGAAGGCTTTGGAGACCAAGTCACTGAGTATGTTTAGAAAAGAAACAGATTGCTAAAGGTTAAATGGCAAGATATCAAGAGTATGGCATTGAGACAGAAGATCAACCATGATCATGGTGAATGGCAGGATAGGCTTGATGAGCTGAACAGCCTACTCCTGCTCTTATTTTCTATGATTCTGTATAATCAAGTTGCTGCTTGGCTGTTTGTCCAATTTTGACATGAACACCTAAAAGTCGGAACCATAGAAAAGGTTACAGACAGAAAGATGTGATTCAGCTCATCACATCTGCACCAGCCAAAAGAACTAGACACCTATTCTAATCCCACCTTCCGGCACTGAGCTGGTAGCCTTGCAGGTTACAGCACTTCAGGTGCAGATCCGGGTACCTTTTAAAGGAATTGAGGGTTTCTGCCTCCGCCATCAAACCAGGCATCAAATTCCAGAAATAAGAATAATAATGAGGACTTTGCAGGTTCGACAAGGCTGTGTTTGCCGATGTCATTTCCAGAGTCTAGGTTGATGCTGAGTGGTCCATCCAGTTTTCTTCCCTTGTTAATACTTTGATACAACTGACTGGCTTGCTAGGACAATAGATTTCCTTACCTAAAAAGGCATTAGTAAACCATACGGATTTTTACGACAATGACAACGGTTGCATCATTCGACTAGCTTTCAATTTCAGATTTTATTAAATAAAATTTCAACATCTGTCATGATGGGATTTAAACCCACAGACACAGAACATTAGTGTAGAGCTCTGGATTACTAGTCCAGTGAAATTGCCATCACACCATCACCTCCCCGGAAAGTAAATTTATACAAGCAAAGAATGGGTACAGCAGAAGAGCTAGTCATTTGACCCTCATGCCAGCTTTCTGCAAGAGCAAACCAGCTAGCACCACTACCCTATGCTTCCCCAACAGCCCCGCAACTTACTTCCTTCATGTTAGTAATCTAATTCCTTTTTGGAAGCACTGGTTGAATCTGCCTCAACCTCACTCTCAGGCAATGGTTCTCACTCACATTATCAACCTGACATCTAATGTGCACTCATTATTTTTGTGTCACCTTAATTATTATCCATTTTGTTTGTCAAAGAACTGTAGGTTGATTGCCCTACCTTTTTCCCTTGTAGTAGACTTGCACCCAAACCATGTCTTCTTTAAAGAAAGCCACTTGCTCACAGTTTGCCCACCAATTTTTCATTCAAAATTACCCAGATCAGATCCTTTTCACAGCTCACTGAAAATGGCTGCCTTCCAATTAAGTATTTTTACTCTAAAGTGTCCCGTCCTTTTCCATGTGCTCAAGACATTTTGAGACTACAATCACTTGAGGCACGTCATATCCCAAAAACAAATTCAGCAATACCTCGTTCCTCATTGGACCAAAAATATATTCATCAAAAAGTATTCCTAGGCATATTTCAAGAAATCACCTCCCTCTATAACTTTAACAGTATTACTACCCCAAACTATTTGTGGTAATTCAAGTCCCTCGTGGTAAGCATTCTATTATTCTTGCATACCTTCATAACTTTCCTGCACATTTGTTCTCTATATCCTTCACACTAGTTGGTGGTCTTTAATATACCTAGTTTAAGGCATCTCTATGTTTCATCATTCTAACCAAATAAATGCTATCCTCAACCCCTCCAGGACATCCATTCTCTCCAGCACTGCGCTCCTTAACTAACACTGCCACATTCACTCCATTCTTTCATTTCCTTTCTTTATAAAACACTTCAGTCAGAACTTTTCCAAGACCAATTAGGAGAGTTGTGAGCATGGAAATATGGCCCACCAAGGTGGGCTCCATCTCGATGGGCTTTTCCTAGAGGTGGGCTACTAACAATTCAACTGAAGAGTAATGACCGATACCCAAACGCATTGAAATTTTAATAACGTGGACGGTCATCCAATTTCATCCAGATCCTGGCAAAGCTTCGAGCTAGCTACACAGTGAGTGGTCAATGGATAATCGTAGGTTTATGTACATGACAGAAAAAAATGGTCTCAAAGGCTGAAAACGTACCAAAATACATTCACATGGAGACATTCCCCCTCCACACTGAAGGCCCTTAGAGTTCTGGGTCTTCTTTTCAAATATCTTGTCAGCACCCTTTCAAAAGGGCCTCAAATTGGAGTCTCCCTCAAGCCTCTTATTGCCTGGACAGTGCAAGAGGGCTGCCGCTTTGTTCACCAGTCAGACTGCCCAATTGGCTCTCCTGTGCCATTCAGCACACCTAAATAGGCAACAACTGGAACCTATTCATTGGCTACCTCCTGTAAAAGTGCAAGCTTGGAAATGGTCCCAACCCAGAAGAATTTGGCCTTTATATTCAAGAATATTTATCATCCAATCCTACCCTTTTTGGAGCTAGGTCTCCATGACTGCCACAACCTCATATTTCCAAGTGGTTATTTGCACATGCAAGTTATCAGCCACATTTAGCACACTGTGTGTTACACACATGCACTGCAAACCTCCCTTAGACCTTCTTGTATTCTTAGTCTGATTTCATGTAATATTGTATTAATTCTGACTCTAGTTTTATCTATTGCTCCCAATCCATTGTACAGCTCGTTTTTGCTTTAATAAAATTAGGTTAGATTACTTTGAAAAGTGTGATTAACACTTCTAAAAGATGCATTATGCCTTTGAATCCATTCAACATATATGTGTATTTTACCAAAAATATGTATTTGTTGTGGATTGGAAGCGGGGCTTATTTCTTCTGATCCAGTACTTGACCCTATAAATGCCAAAGGGGGATGAGTAAGGTGCTGACCAGAATATTACTTAAGTGGGATTTATTTTTGTTTCTTTTAGATATTTTGGGCAAGTTCAAAAGTTGTCATTTCTGTCGCTACGCAGCTATTTTAAAACAGGATACCATGTATAAGACAGAGCTGTTATTAATAGCTGTCAGACCAAATAATGAGTCCCTCCAGAAAAATCTTTGACATAGTATATGAGTAACTAGTGGAAGTACTCAAACCCACTTAGATTTGTCCATTACCAACATTTTCCTCATAACCACAGAAGAAGAACAGGGCTTACCTGCTCACTGTAAAAGGTTGCCGGGATGGCTGCTGCTTTGGCATACATATAATGCTAGGTGAGCTTCTGTTTGGACTGCCTAAACCAGAGCTGCTCATGCTATTTGTCCTCCCTGGAATCCCAATCCCTTGTCCAACCTGGGAATGATTCATCATATTCCTGGGATTCATAGGCAAAATGCTCCTGTTAAAAAACAGCAAATATTAAATAGCACTGTATCTGCCATACGTATGAAAACCTATGAACAAATTATAGAAACAGCCAATATAACATGCCACATATTTTTCTGCTAAATCTCAGAATATTCACTCTCAGGTTCACATTACAAATAATGTAAAATAATGCATTGAATTATAATTCAAGTTATGATGGAAAAAGTGTGCAGTATATACTATTTTTGGAATTTTGACATTTTTAAAAATAGATTCATGAATTGCGGTCAGTTCTGTGCAGGTTTTTTATAAAGCTGATCTGGAAGTCAGATGGGCCAAAATGCATCCGTTTTGAGAAAACATGAGACTGCAATCATATGGCTAGGGGAGTCCTGATGGTGTTAACTGATAAAATTATTATATTGTTGAGTTTCTGACAGGCAGTTTAGTTTAGTTTTGACTTCCAAACAGAAGGCTCAAGTTTTCATTTCAGAAGAACCTGAAGCTCAGTTCTAGAAGATAGAATAGTTTCTTCTCAGGGGAACAAAATTTCTCCCAGTTCAATTCAGGGGAATAAATCACCTTAACAGAAGTTTCTCAAACAGAGGTTTATAGTCTGTGAGGCTTTCAAGTCAGGAAAGTTTGGATAGAAAGTTACTATAGCTGAGAAAGTTTAGGAGATCAGATTCGTGACAGGTTCATGCCAGGACTCAAAGGAGCTGAGACACTGTCACTACAGTCCAAGGAAAAGAAACTGGGAAAGTCAGTTAAGATTTAAAACGCTAAGAAGAAAACGGCAATATTTCTGTGGGCTGAAGTCGTTGTAATGGATAGTAGTAAACTTGTCTTGATGTTTCTAATTGTCTTTTAGACACACCTTTTATATTTCTTTCGCGTAATCAACTAATGGTCTGTTGTTAAAGAACATCTGCCACCTCAAATGAATATGCTTCAGTGACTAGCGATCAGGTTAAACTACTTCAAAAATGAACTATTTAACCTACCGAGCCAGGTTTCAACTCTCGGAACAGATTTATCTAATACTTCTGTCAGCTGAGAGCATAACAATGTGTTCTTTAACATAAGCTGCTTTCATGGCAACAGCAATAATACACCTTTGAAACCATATAAGAAAAACCAATTTCTGACTGTATAAAAGGTCACAGGAAAATAAGCCCTCAGCACTTCCATATCCCAGAAAGAATTATGTTTATTTGCAAGAGAAACCTCACAGGATACTAGTGTGGACACTCATCACTCAGAAGGCAAACCCACCGGAATTCCATTAAATGTAATAAATTCAGCTATTAACACAGACAAAATAATAACAGGAAGTGGAATTTCCTGTAAAAGTTACATCTGAAATTACATCCATTCATGCACTAATTTTGCCAATGCCAGGTTATGCCCAAATTTCCTGCCAATCTTATTTGTATTCAACAAAATGTATAAAAATGGCTGAAAGAAAAGTGGCAATCTTCTAGCACGAGACAATGGTCTAGTGCTATTCTTGCTAGACTATTAATCCAGAAACTCAGCTAAACTCCCTGGGACTTGGGTTCAAATCCTTCCATGGCAGGTACTGGAATTTGAATTCAATGAAAAATATCCGGAATTAAGAGAAGCTACTGATGAGCTTGAAACCATCGATTGTCAGAAAAACCCATCTGGCTCACTATTGTCTTTCAGGGAAGAAAATCTGCCACCCTCACCTAGTCTGGCCTAATGTGACTCCAGATCCACAGCAATGTCAGCGGTTCTCAACTGCCCCCTGAAATGCCTAGTAAGCCACTCAGTTGTATCAATCGCTATGAAGTTTTCAACAAAGAAGTGAATCAAATGGACCATCCAGCATCGAACTGGACACCGGAAAAGACACCAGTAGAAACAGCCCTGTTGACCCTGCAAAGTCCTCTTTACTAACGTCCGGGGCTCATGCCAAAATTGGCAGAGCTGTCTCAAACTAGTCAAGCAACAGCCTGTCAGAGGTGTGATTCCGTACAATGCCTGACAATGTCCCAGACACCACCATCACCATCCCTGGATATGTCCTATGCCAAAGGCAGAACAGACCCAGCAGAAGTGACAACACAATGGCATGCAATTGGGAGTTGCCCTCGGAATCCTCTACATTGACTCTGGATCCTATCAGATACCGTTCTCCCTCAGCTGATGAATCAGTACTGCATCATGTTGAACAACTCATAGAGGAAGCACCAAGAATGGCAAGGGTGCAAAATGCACCCTGGATGGGAGAATTTCAATGTCCACCACCAAGAGTGGCTCAGCAGCAGCATCATTGATCAAGCTGTGGGTCCTAAAGCACATAGCTGCTAGACTGGGTCTGCAACAGGTGGTGAAGAAACCAACAAGAAGGAAAACATACTTGACCTCATCCTTACTATTATGTTTGTGGTTCACTAGAATGATAAATAGAACGAGGTAGATGGTAGGTAAACCTGAACAAGAAATACTTTATCGTGTGTCCTTTCAGCTCCATAGTCAGTTTTAGACTGCCTCCCTAGCTTCAGCTGAGAGTCATCTGACATGTTCACTTAAAATGGCAAAACATATCCAACTACATTAATAACACTTACAAATCTGCCAGCTGCAGATGCATCTATCTATGACAGTATTGGTAAGAGTGACTACTGCATAATCCTTATGGAGACGATGTCATGCCTTTCGAATGGGAATTGCATCCATCATGTAACGTGGCATACGACAGCGCTAATTGGGATAGAATTTGAATGGTTCTAGAAACTCAAGACTAGGCATCCATGAGATGGAGAGTCATCATCACCTGCACAGCGTATTCCAGCACAATCTGCAACCTCATGTCGGGCATATCCCACATTCAGCCATTACCATCAAGCCAGGTAACCAGCCCTTGCTGCAATGGAGAATGCAGGAGGGCATGCCAGGAGCAGCACCAAGCATATCTAAAAATGAGGTATCAACCTGGTGAAGCTACCCACAGCATAAAACAGCAAGTGACAGACAGAGCTAAGCGATACCACAAGCAGTGGGTCAGATCTTAGCACTGCAGTCCTGCCACATCCATTCGTGAATGATGGTGGGCAATTAAATCACTCACTGGAAGAGGAGGCTTCACAAGCATCCCCATCCGCAATGACTTAAGAGCCTAAATGTCAGTGCAAATGATTAGACTGAAAGCTTCAGCTAGAAGTGCCAAGTGAATGATCTATCTCAGCCTTCTCTAGTGATCACCAGCATTACAGATGCCAGTTTTCAGCCAATTGATTCACTCCACATGATATCAAGAAACAAGTGGGAGCACTGGACAGTGCAAAGGCTATGGGTCCTCACAGCATTCTGGCAATAGTACTGAAGACTTGTGCTCCAGAACTTGCTGCTCTCCCAGCCAAGCTGTTCCAGTATAGTTACAACACTAGCATCTGACAATGTGGAAAATTGCCCAAGTATGTCCTGCCTTTTGTGTATAGGACAAATCCAACCCGGCCCCATCAGTAGAGATGGAGGATGTTATCAACATTCTTATAAGCAGCACCTGCTCAGCAACAACCTGCTCACTGTCACCCAGTTTGGCCTCTGCCTGGGTCACTCAGCTCCTGAATTCATTACGGCTTTGATTCAAACATGGATAAAAAGAGCCGAATTCCATTGGTGATGTGGGGTGAGAGTGACTACCCTTGACATCAAGGCTGCATTCAACCGAGTGTGGCATCAAGGAGCCCTAGAAAACCTGATCTCTGAGTATCGGGGGGCAAACGCTAGTTGGAGTCATACCTGGCACATAGGAAGATAGTTTTGGTTGTTGGAGGTCCAACCATCTCAGCTCAGGGACATCACCACAGGAATTCTTAAGGGTAGTGTCCTAGGTCCAACTATCTTCAACCGCTTCATCAATGGCCTTCCCTCCATCGTAAGGTCAGACACTAGAATGTTTGCCAACGACTGCACAATGTTCAGCACCATTCGTGACTCCTCAGATGCTAAAGCAGTCTGTGTCCAAATGCAACAAAATCTGGACAATACCCAGGCTTAAGCTGACAAATAGTAAGTAACATTCAGACCACACAAATGCCAGGCAATGACCATCTCCAATAAGAGACCATCTAAGCACCACCTCTTGACATTCAATGGTGTTACCATCACTGAATCCTCCACTATCAACATCCTTAGGGTTACCATTGACCAGAAACTGAACTGGACTAACCACATAAACACAGTGGCTACAACAGCAGGTCAGAGGCTAGGAATACGGTGGTGAGTAATTAACCTCCTGACTCCCCAAAGCCTGTCCACCATCTACAAGGCAGAAGTCAGAGTGTGATGGAATACCTCCCACTTGTCTGGACAGATACAGCTCCAAAAACACTTAAGAAGCTTGACACCATGCAGAACAAACCAGCACACTCGATTGGCACAACATCCACAAGCATCCAATCCCTCCACCACCGATGCTCAGTAGCAGCAGTGTGTACTATCTACAAGATGCACTGCAGAAATTCACCAAATATCCTTAGACAGCAGCTTCCAAACCCACGGCCACTTTCATCTAGAAGGACAAGGGCAGCAGATATATGGGAACACCACTACCTGTAAGTTCGCCTCCCAACTATTCACCATCCTTGCCTGAAAATATATGCCATTCCTTCACTGTTGCTGGCTCAATATCCTGAAATTCCCTTCCCAAGGGCATTGTGGGTCAACCTAAAGCATGTAGACTGCAACAATTCAAGATGACAGCTCACCAGCACCTACTCAAGGGCAACTAGGGATGGGCAATAAATACTGCCCAGCCAGTGATGCCGACGTCCCATGAGTGAATAAAGGGGCCCAAACAGTAAGCCAACCATTAACCATATATTCTGCCTTTAAATATGAAAACTGAAGATGCAATATGGGTAACTCAAAAATCACAAGAAAAATCACCATGTACAGTTGTGTCTAAAATTCTGGCCTGACACTCTAGTTATAAGTGCTTTGAGCACGAATACACAGGAATCCACACCAAGAATCAAATGGTGCCTGTATAAAAAGCAGCATATTGTTCATCTTATGAACTTCAAGTAATATTCAAATAATGCATTGCATCTACTTAAAAGCTGTTTCTACAGTGCTATAAAGTTCCACATCACCAACCATAAAACCAATGTTTATATTGTTGAACACTGATACTGCAAGAGGTAATTAAAATTGCTTTATCTCATTACCTGCTTGGTGAAGATGGAGTATGAAGTGACATTGTTGGCACTCCTGTTGTTGGCGTTACATGATTGGGTAACTGAGTACCTTGTGATAAGCTGCGATTTAACTGGGGGTTATTGTTGCCCATTCCCCTCATCGGAAGGCCTAATGCACCTGCAAAAATATGAATACAGGCTTTTTCAATTGTTGTTTTGATTGTCTGAGCTTGCCTAGTATTGAATGAGCACTTTTGTTCGTTAAAAATACTACTGGATACTGATTATTATGTATGTATTAAGTTGCATGTTAACTTACTAGGTTTATCCATGAAACTATGAGGAAATCAATGCCGAGTCATATTCCAGCAAAAGATCTACAATACCTGTAAAACTATTTCAGCCAGCACTTTAGAATTGTGGTTTGGATAATGCATTGTTTCTCATTAGCTACACTTTATTATGTTTCAAGTTATACACTTTCATGTGCACATTTGACAATAAAGCAATCGTAGTGATGTCTAGACATTTGAATATTGTTGAACAAAAGCACATTTTGTCGAAACTTTTTATCCTTCCACTCATCAGGGCATTCATAAGAACATCAATGTAAATGGGACATTATATACTTTGAGAAGAAAGTGCTGATTATTGGCAAGTGGACTCTGAACTCAAAACAGTATTCAACATTAGATGTGATTCTATGATTGGACACCACTTGCTATGTAATCGTGAGTCTGCTAAGAATTACATCAAATTTAAGACCATCAGTCAGGTTTGTCACATTTGTGTGGGCTGGAAGCCACATACATTAATATACAGGTTCCTGTTCTTTGCAGGCAGAAAGAACATGTACACAGCTTTGCCCCTTTTTCCAAGCATAAAAATACATACCATTTTCAGATTTATTCAGCAGGGCAATGACTTGACCAATCACAATCAACCTGCCTGGTTTAAATTAAACAAAATTTGGCAGTTAACTGCCAGTCATCACCATTCTTCTTGGCAACATCGCTACCAGAGTCCACTTGCCAACCAATCAGCACACTTCTCATACAGTATAAATTATAGTAGATTTATTTTGCATTTCTTTACATTGGTATTCTTGTATACATCCTGTTGAGTGCAAGACAAAAAGCTTTGACAAAATGTTTGTTTTCTTTCAGCAATAATATTGTATTATTAACAACAGGAAAACAGCTTATGGTATCATGTTTGTTGTCAAAACTAGTACTTTTGAAATTATAAATTCAAGACAGTAAATAATTGCAGTGCTAGCTCTGCTGTCCATTATGCATTGAGATTCATAACTATTCAGTTAAGGGCTTTTGCTCTAAATACAACACTTCAACAACAGAAAAAGACTTACTTTGCCCATATAAACTTGCACCAAACTGAGATAGCTGCCCTGATGTTGATGGTGATGGAGATGCCAGCATCTAGGGGAAAAGCATGTGCAGTCAGAAACAAATCAGATAGTCAAAAGTTTCCATTAGTGGATCAAAGAAATGGACTTAATACTGTACACAGATCCATCGTACACAATTTTATAAACAAAACTCAAGCAACAAAGGAAATTAAAGATTCAAAAATTGTCAAGTCAAAAACATGGAACTCCACAGGTGTGTAATAATAAATGTTACTTTAAATGGATTGGTTGCCCCTCGAACGAGATTATTTCATAAACCTATTTATACATTCAGAAAATTGTATAAACTCAATTTTGAACTGAGATTTTAACTATTATCCCAGCGGTTCCCAATTTGAGATCATATCCTGCAAAAATCGATCACAGACATTGCTTTTGGGATCTTTCTCCTCTGAAGCAGCAATGGTGAATGTAAAGAGGAGAATACCTAATCCAGAAGTTCTGCTTGGATAGTCCGGGACCTAATGCGTTGATACTATCACCTAGTAAGGGCGGACAGTGAATCCAAAATGTTCTTGTTACCTCTAAGCACTTTTGGTAGCCAGGTCAAGATCTATGCATTGACCATGCATAAGCCAGAAACAGACAAGCGTAACTCAGTAGGTGACTGAGTGCAGACAAAAACTGGCAAATCATTAAACTGGACCAGGATTTATTACAGGCTCCTTACCTCAGGCTAACATCTCTGGAAGAGACGGGTTGATTAACGTGCATGCTTATGAATGTGTGCACATAAGGGTGAGGTAGGGAGGTGGGCAGAAGAATAAGATAGAGACTGATTATTGTGTGAGTTCATGCACATCTGAGTATAAATGAAAGAGAAATGGAGGTGCAGTTTACAGTGTGGTGGTGCTGTGGAGGGGGTTGTCACTGAGCCTTCTGTATCCAGAGTATATGCAGAGCTTGGCTGAAATGAAATGACTACATAAAATATTTTGTAAGGAGTAATTTATAAGTAAACATTTTTCACAGATCAATGTTATACATCATTTAAATAGAGAAATTCGTAAGAAATATAAAAATAGACAAACTTTAATAACTATATACTTAATCTTACTATACCGCTTTATTGCTAGCATTGGGATTATGTTACAATTCAATTTTAAAACAGGATCATATGAAAATAGTCTAGGGGTGAAGTATTATGTTAACCACACATTTGAATCAGTAGGTTGTCGATTCAAACTATATCACAAAAGTTCACTATATAGTCTTACACTTGGCAGCAGTACGGGACAAGATATCGGAAGAGCACGAGTTCAGACAAAGCAGTAAATTAATACCTCATCTGTCGTTTCTACACTTCCATTTGACAGAAAGAATGCAGGTCTCCTAGAATTTGAATAATATTCCTCATTGACCAGTATTACAAAAATGAAATTTAGCACGGAAATTTGTCCAAGTTTATCATATGCAAATTTTGCCTACAAAACTATATGATCTGTATTTTCAAAGTAATCCACTGTATAAAAGTGCTTCGGGACATTTTATAATATTTACCACTTAAATGCAAGTTTGCTTTATTCCTGTATGATACCAGTCCAAATTTCCACAGTTCAAGGATCTTTTCTCATCACTCTTGTACATTTTGTTTGGATTCAAGGTTTGTCAGTCAATGCTGTTGCTTTGCCGTGCTTCTTTAGCAATATGAAGCTGTGTTCCTGGACTCATACACTTTGACTTATTTTGTTATGAAGAGGTTTCATATTCAATATTACTCAGAAAACTTAAGTATTGAAGAATTGTACAAAATGGATTTGTTTCAAGTTTTGTGGAAATATCTGGAATGGATTCTTTAGAAGTGATCATTGAAACCTCATTGTGGACACTGCAGATGAGCTTCCAGTAAATCATTTGACAGGCGATAAACTATTCTTTTGCTCAGGACTCCCAGCTGGAGTCATTTTGAACATTTTTAACTGGTAAATGACTCGGAGGTAAGCCTGCTAATAACAAGATGCATTGAAGGGAAGCTTTCTGAGAACAAGCTAAGTAGGACCATAAAACTAAAAGACATAGGAGCAGAATTAGGCCATTCAGCCTACCCACACTACAGATTATATGATTCAATGCTTCTATGAGTCTGCTCCACCATTTGATCACAGCTGATATATGTTTTGCAACCCCATTCTCCTATCTTCTCCCTGGAATCATTGATCCCCTTGCTAGTCAAGAACTTATCTATCCTCGTCTTAAATATACTCAGTTACAAGCCTTCACAGCTTTCTGAGGCAATCAGTTTCACAACTTAACCACCCGTTAGCTGAAGAAATTCCTCCTTGTCTCGGTTCTAAAGGGTCAACCCTTCGTTCTGAGGCTGTACTCTTGGAACCCAGTCTCTCCTACTAGTGGAGACGTCTTCTCCGTGTCTACTCTATCCAGATCTCTCAATATTCTGTAAGTTTCAATAAGATCTCCCCCCAACCATCTAAACTCCATCGAATACAGACCCAGAGACCCCAACCACTCTGCATATGACAAGCCTTTCATTCCCAGGATTCTTCTTGTAAACCTCCTCTGGAGCCCCTCCTATCACCAACATATTGTTCCTTAGATATGGGGGTCAAAATTGCTCATAGTATTCAAAATGTGGTCTGACCAGAGCCTTATAGAGCCTAAACAGTATATTTTTGCTCTTCTGTTCTAGCCCTCTCAAAATGAATGCTAATATTGCATTTGCCTTCCTAAATGCCAAGTGAAATTGCACATTAACCATAAGAGAATCCTGAACTAAGACTCCCAAGTCCCCTTGCGCTTCAGATTTATGAAGCCTTTCCCCATTTGGAAAATAGTCTACATTTCTACTCTCCTTACCAAAGTACATAATTTTATACTTTCCCACATCATATTCCATCTGCCACTTCTTTGTCCACTCTCGTAGCCTGCCCAAGTCCTTCTGCAGCCTCCCTGCTTCCTCAACACTATCTGCCCCCACTACCTATTTTTGCGATATTTGTGAAATTAGCAATAATGCCCTCAGTTCCTTCATCTCGATTATTAATGTATAACGTGAATAGTTGTGGCCCCAGCACTAACCTCTGCAGAACTCCACTAGTTACCGACCTCCATCCTGAAAAAGACCCCTTTATTCCTACTCTCTACCTTCCAGAGAAAAGCCTGCGGATAACAAGCAGAATTGGGAGAAAGCTTGCTAGAAACAAGCTGAGCTGGAGGAAAGCTTGCTAAGAACAAGCTTCCGAACTGATCTGAAAAGAAACCCATTTGTTGTGTTTAGGGTGAAACTCGTATGCTCTTTGAAAGATCGACAGTATCTTGAAATGGTCTTCAATATCCTGAGCAAGCTGTATCTGCCAGACTTCAGAGAGAACCATCACAGAATCTCTACAGTGTGGAAGCAGGCCATTTGGCCCATCGAGTCCACACTGAACCCCTGAAGAGCATCCCAGCCAGACCCACCCTATCCCTGGAACACTGCTAATTCATCTAGCCTGCACATCCCTGGACACTATGGGCAATTTAGCATGGCCAATCCACCTAACCTGCACAACTCTGGACTGTTGGAGGAAACCAGAGCACCTAAAAGAAACCCCACACAGAAAGAGGGAGAATGTGCAAACACCATGCTGACAGTCACCCAAGTGTGGAACTAAACCTGGGTCCCTGGCACTGTGAGGAAGCAGTGCTAATTTGGAGCCACCATGCCATCATGTGTGATTAGTGATGATCACATATGCCAAACACAGCAACAGACTTCTATTTATCTATTTGTCTTCAAGAATAATGTTCTGGTAAATGTGTATTATTTCCAGAGCACTAATCTCTGGAGAAATATGAAGTCTTTTGGGAATATCTACAGGAATAAACATTTATACTTCTATATTACTGACTATGTACGTTAATTAAATCTTTATTTAATAAAGTTTTGTTTTGATAATAAACCTCAACTGTGTTTATTAAAAAAAAAACTAACTGATAGGTCTTGTTAATTAAAATCTGTCACAAATAAGGTATTAACTTCATTATCTTGGCAATTGTAAAAATAATCTTTATTCTATGTTGTCACCGAGGAACCACTACTCACAATGCAATTCACCAGCCTTGATCTTAAGTAAGCTCAAAAGATAAAGAATAAGCTGTTTCAGGATGACTTAGGTGAAAATCTAGAGCTATGAATCTCTTTCTGGATTTTGTCTTTTTAAAGTATGCATTCATCATTCCAAACTCATAATTCTAGAAGCATCTTTATAAAGGGTTATCATGAAGAAATTTTTCCAATCATTTGGATTTGTCCATTCGTTTAGAACAAGTTACCCAAGGTAGTGGAAAATTCCTCAGTCCGATAATCAAGTGACGTCCACTGAGTCAAGTGAAACTTAATCCAATGTGGCAGTAAGAGGAACTTCAGTACTGCACTATATGCATTAAAAAGCAATGGCTGAAGTCCTGCTAACATGCAATTTACTAGTCCATTGTGCTGAGATAGAGATCAGTAAGCTAACAGTTTTGAACTTGTTAAAACATGAATTATCAGAATCTGCCAAAGTCTAGAAAATTCAGTGTTCAACTTGCTTGGACCCAAACGTATGCATTCTACACTAATCAGTGTGGAAGGAAAAATGGCTGTTTCCAAAACTGGAAAACTATTGAATGGTCTTCTACTGATGTCCTAGTTACAGGCAGATAATAAAGAGGTAGCAGCAACAGGGACACAAGCACAGTGCCTTATTGATAATGAGGCCAGCATCCAATGTTAGTGGTCAGTCATTTTGACAACATACAAAACAGTGCAAGAAAATAACTCAACATGCCTTAGCCTGATATTATTCCATCTAATCGGGGTAGTTTATAAGGCAATTTCTACAAGAAGCTTAACTTCAGACACTCTGATTCAAAAAACACATCCTCTTTCAAATATGAAATAGAATAGAATAGAATTCCTACAGTGTGGAAACAGGCCCTTCGGCCCAAAAAGTCCACACCGACCCTCAGAGCATCCCACCCAGATCCATCCCCTATAACCCACCTAAGCTACACATCCCTGAACACCAC